CTCAACAGAAAAGGAAGTGGACAGATTTGACACTTTTAAAAAAGTATAAAGGGAAGAACGCTTGCATTCACTTACAAGAATTAATACCCTAGACTGCTAACTGATTGAACTCTAAAGAGTAATTTTAGAATGGAAATGTTAGTATAGTATCCCTTTATTGCCAAGGGGTTTTAGGAAGAGCTGGTTTGGATATTTTCCCTTTTTCATATTGACATTGGTGCTTTTATCAATTTAAACACACTAACATTAAACCACTAAAAGGCATGTAGGTTTCAATAAAACTCATTTTTTATAGCTTCAGCCCATATAACCAAATGAGCTGCTTTAACATTTTTTTTAAGCAGAAAAGATAATAAAGCTAAATGAAAAGTCCCAGAGCTTAGTTTTAAGACTAAATGGTATTTTAGATGGAATAGTTAAAGCAAGCAGAGTTTGTAACTCTGAGATAAAGATAATGGCTTAAATCTATCTTTACATTATGAGTATTCTTCTTGGAGCTGCAAAATTGATAAACACAGTTTCAGTTCTCACTGGCATGAGCTGCTACAAGCTCTCTGTGAGTGAGACCAGAGATGCTGTTGTTGAAAGTGCATTTCATGAATATTGGAAATTGGAGGATCATTCCCAACTATACCACTAGCATGGTGGGAAACTGTGGATAAATTTCTTCTGTACTTTTGCTTTCCAATCTGCAAATTAAAGATAATAGTGTACACTTCTAATGCAAGATCTGTTGATCCCTAAATAAGAGGTATTGTAAGCTTGCCTATCATTTGCTAGTTCAGTTGGTTTCTTGAAATAGCTAATGTTAAGATGAGAGAAAATTAAGAACAGAAAGTAGWACCAGACAGAAATAAGTTTTCTTGAAGGTCTTGTAATGAAGAMAGGAAAGTACTCACATAACTACAGAATGAATAAAATAGTGATTAAAGCAGTAAAGCAAAATGTGCACACCTAATAGACCATAAACAATGTGAAAGATACACACAGCAGCAATAAAAACAGAGTTATTAAGACATTCAAAAAGCACCAATTAGGGCCAGGAAGGAACACTGCCAGAAGAGGTGTGCATTTATACACGTATTTGCACATGCATGTGTGTGCATGCATAATCACAGTCATGCAGAAAGAGAAAGAGAAATATCTAACAGCCTTTAGGATGGAAAGAAACTTCAGTAGTCAGATTCTATTGGCGGTACTTTATTGCTTCACGCATCCAATAGAATGCAATTCACAAATTAGGGCTGTGGAGAGGGAAGATTAAGACTGATTCTAGCTTCCACATGTAAAGGGTACTGCTTCTAAAATTCACTGCAGTATGTAATTAGAAATGCATATAATTAGGTGAGTTAGATCTCACAAAATGATCCCAATGATGCTTTCTGCATGACTTGGCTATGCAACCAAAATATGCAATGTAAATCAGAAATTAATTACCTGAGGATTTAGAAACTATTCTAAGAGTGTTTATTTGAGAAATAAGGAAAAAGTAGTCATGAATTTGGCTTATTATTCTAGAAGAAAGAATTACTGCTCTTTAGATTGARCAAGGAGCCCAAGAATTAATTAAATTAGAGGTGTTTTTTCTCCCAGATTTGTGTCTCAGCTGACCATCAACTCTAGCTGCATATCTCCTTGTGGTGAAGACATTTCTAAGGCTCTTCTCAAACTAAGTACCAGTAAAATATAAACTAACTTTTTTTACACCCTTCTCTCCAGTAGGGGCACTGAGTTACCTCCCCTGTATTCTCACTCGGCTGACCTCCAAGAAAGCTATTTGATACATTTATCTTTCAATACGCTATTCCTCTGTTCAAAAGTTATTTGTTAAGAAGATATTTGGATGAGCAGGAAGAAAGAAAAGGAGAGGATGAAGGCACAGAGACATGAAAAATAAATTGCACAAACTTAATTCCTTTGGAACAAAATATTGTCTGCATATGTTCTTAGGAGTTCAAAAACCTCCTTGACATAGAACTTCTATAGAGCAGACTGAAAAATGAGAGCAGAAATTTTACCCATTCAGTATAGCAGATAAATAATAACCTATTATCTGACCAATGGAGCAACACCTGTTGTAAATATCTCAGCTACTCACACATTCCATCCAAACAAACCACATGGCAGGATTGTGTATCCATGGTATATATTGAATGCAATTAACTTTCCAGCTCAAATATTGCTAACCAGAAAGAGCAGCAAACCAGCATGACTGWGGCAACGCTTTTTAAACAATACTAAAGAGATACTCTCCTTGTTTCAACTGCAACTATAAATCATGGGAAAAAAAAATTTAGTGTCTCTTTGTCTTACTCATCTTTGACAAAAGCTTTGGTTAGAGTGGGGAAAAATCAAAACTGGAGACATACACATTTTTTCTGGCACCAGGAAGACATATTAATACACTCAGTTAAAAGGAAAACTTTTATGATATTTTACAGAAGAAAAGTAACTCCATTGTGTGACATGTAAATTTGTACTTGAGGTGAAAAACCAGAAACRCAGATGAAGAACTCCTTCTTTATCCACTACTAGTTTTCAGACCCTGGACCTCCTCCTCTTCTCAGCTGTGTACCTCTCAGGTGACCACACTTTCTTCTCTGAAAAAATCTGCATTCTTCTCTAAGATTTTAGGTCTATGGCTGGAACAGTCTGTTGTCTCACCACCTGACATTTTTATGGCAGAATGTTACCCACAAAGAGACCTAAATTAGGTGCAAATTTACGTATTGAAAGAAGCTAGAGTTTCAAAAGAGTTTGCAACCATACACTGTGACCACTGTATTTGGCAAGTGCTCAGAATCTCTGTGTCATTTGGGGACCAGATATTAAGCTACACTCTGCATTATCAGGACATTTTGAAAAACCACCAAACCTCCTACTAAAGAATTATATCCAATGCGTCTGAAAAAAGGGGCAAATTAGAAACTGAACTWACAATTTATAGAGTTGTGATACAGTTTTGTCTTACATTTGCTTAAGTTTCACATATTATCTCCCTAAGTGGAGTCAATGACTTCTTCAAATTCCTTACATTAGAGAATGCAGAAGACCAAAATTAGAAAGGCATGATGCTTTATCTGGTGTKCAAGAATCAGCTGATAGCATCTTATGTTTTATGGAACAGGCACTGCAACCAAGAAGCAGCTAGGATTTAATGAACATGGTGCTCAGTTTTAGAAAATTTATGTATGTTACTTCTTGCACCTCTGAAAAAAACTCAGATTGTATTTAAAGCACATCTCTTACATGTAATAGCATAAAATTAAAACTGAACTGAAATCTTAGGTTTGGTGCATTTGCATGAACGTTACACAATTAGTGCAATTACACTCAAGCTTGTATTTTACAAAATATCCTCAAGGATTACAATGTGGTTTCCTTTAGCCACTTTAACAGGGCTTTRCAGTGAGAGTGATCACAGATCTCAAACTTTTACAAATAAACTACTTATTGCTGAAACACACCTGCTGCAGCTGTCATGTTCCCATTGCTCTTATTTTAACCACACATTGATTATTCATTATAAAACCTCTTGTWATAGGTTAAAAAAATCCCTCTCTAGCAATAGCTGGGATTGGATAATGAACTGAATCCAGGAAACATTCAAGTTCTTCTTCATTGAAAGTGCATTACTATTAAGATGAAAGCATCTTACTTGCCAAATTCAAAACAAGTCCYGGGCATAGGTTGCTCATCTGTTCCAATAGCACTCATTATCATTCCAGTCCTAGATGGAAAGACTTTGAGCTCTTGAGATGATAAATTACAGGGGGAAAGGAAATAAACTGTTGTATAAAGAGTTTTCTGGCTCACAGCCAGACAGATAAGAGAAGTGTATGGTGAAACCATCACATCTCCATCTATACTGATAGGGAAAAAAACCCTGGTGAGCAAGAGCATTGTATTGAAATGCAATTACAGATGGGCTTGGTGACAGCACTCCAGAATGTCCCATGGTCACTTACTGTCTTTAGAAGAACAAGAAGTTTTAAAATAGCTTAAGCAAAAGCTGGTTAATTTTTTTATCAGCCTGGAGTGAGGAGGGAAGGAGAGAAGGGTATTGGCATTTCCATCCCTTGCTGCTTCATTGGATTATGGTGAACTCAGGAAATCAGGCAACCTTCTTATCCTGCTACAATGAAAATGGGAAGAGATTTACACATTTCTTTGAATGCTGTGCTGTTGTTTTAATTTTCTTACATGTCTCTTGTCCTCACTGTGGGTAAAGGGCGCAGCAGCTGCTCCCTCTCTTCACTCATGTGAAGAGCAGGAGAGAGAGGTCAGCTCTTATGAATGACTGYTCCATGGGGAGGAAAGTGCAGCAATTCCAAGAGCGCATCTGCTGCTGACTCTCCATATTTGAAATTCCTGAGGAATTTTAACTGTACATCTCAGAGAGACAAAACAAACAGGCCTCCGAAACTAAATTTTGGAAGGAGAAGGGGAAAGGGAAAGGCCTCCCTTGCCTTTCCAATGAAATGAGCTAGACAACTCCATGTGGCTTCTTTTAAGTTTAGGGCACYGGTTGCTCTGCAAAGTCTCCCTTTGATTCCAGTTTTGTAGAAGGAGGTATTGCTTACCATTTGTAATGTTGGTAGGATAAGATTTCCCCTCTCCATTTCATCTTTGCAAGGGGAGGAAAAGAGGATGAAAATCAAGGCTTAGTGTGCCAAGAYCTGAAAATATATTTACATGCCAAAGTGGGACTCTTGCTTTGAGCATTAGTCACAACAGCTCTTCTGCCTTTTGGGTAGTTCATTAACAGAAATCAATACAAGCTGCCTTTCAAGAAAGCCAACACTTGTTCATYGACACACTTTGTAATTCCTTTCAGCAGAATCATCAATGCTTACAAGGTGCACAGTAAATTATGGCAAAACTGCAGAATGTCAAGACTACTGAAAATAGTTTCATTTCAGTGCAAGCTTAAAAGATAAACCTAAATRCAATGAGAAGAAGAGTAATTACTAAGAAACAAAGACAAAAGAGGTCTTTACCTGGAGGCCCTTCTTCTCTATCTTTTTCTGGAGTATCTGAAGGCACTTGGTGAAATCTGTGAGGTCCTGATCCATGGTCTCAATTAACTCACATCCCTAGTGAAGAAGCAACAAAACAGAGAGGAAAAAAAAGTCAGTAATATTTTGGTTTTGAGAACTAATGATTAATTTGGTGAAATTAACTGCAGTCARCAAACCAGAGTCTCAGCATGGAGATGCAGAATTAAGTAAAAGATCCTTACAGAACCCAAAGACTGTAGGCCCCAGTTGAACTAGTTACTATGAACCAGCAGTTTCATAGGTCCAAGAGTATATATTCAGAGCCCATTGARTATATTTGTGTGTTTGGATGAGCATGTTTTACAATGCTCTGCTGGATGGACAAGTTGTGGTGTAGTGAGCCCTGGGTGATCAGTAACTTTGAGGAAAATGACTGTCCTCTCTGGGTTTACAATGTCTCTGCTAYGCACATTCAAACCTGTATAGATGTGAGCATACAAAATTGTTCAAGGTTCCCAGAAACAGTGCAGTTGTACTGTAGTTAATACGCAGTGATACAACAAGAATTTCTTTGCAATGGGGTATTATGGCTGAGAACATACTAGAGAGAGAGCATGAACTCAGATTTCTWAACTGTGAGCTAAAGCAATTCCTAAGCCTCTGCTAAAAAGCTGAGTAAGGGTAAGTGAAGTGTATCTACCACATAAAGTCACTATTCAAAGAGGTTTAAAGAATAAAAAAATAACCAATAAAGCATTCAGAATTAAAATAAGAATTGTACACAYTGGATTTAGAAGTTCTCTCTCCTACCACTTCAAGGTCCCCTTAAAAGCCTCCTTGCTTTGTCTTACTTGACAGATTTTATGTTTCTGCTATACACAATAGCAACTGATATGAGAAAAAACATTCAGAATACAGAATCTTTGTACGTGTGCCTCTGTGCATAAAGCACATTTCTCTGTCACTTCAGAAAAAAGTCCTAAACAACAAAGCCAACATAAAAGTTTTAAAGTTGCCTTTACATTGGCAGTAAAAATAAAGGTACAAAAGACAAAATTTCCCAGGTTAGTGAATGCATGGAGTTTAGTGAATTGCATGCTTCCAACAGGAAGACACACACTGCCACTGATATGCTTCCCCATGGCCAGAATACACATAAAACCAAATAAAGCCATCAGGCAGTGGGGGATTTGGATGAAGTAGAAGAGAAAAGGGAGAAGATAATAACATGGTTTTCTATCATACCTCTCGAAAACTTCTGAAAGAGAACCTGGTCAAAAGTAACAGCTTTTCTGAGGCCTGATATTGCTCTAAATATTTTTTTTAAGCAGTAATAATAGGCTTGCCAAGATGAAGCATTGTGTAGCTGTAACAGAACATGCAATCAGAGACCTCCATTGCGAAAGTAACACTGCTTCCCTTCCAAAGAGGTGAGGGAAAACATAGCTGGATTCTGCACTCAGTGCTAAGCACCAAACTCTTTGAAGAGCTGCCATGTCTCYACTCTCTTCAAGGAAAGGCTGAAATGTAAAATTGGTAGGAGGAGAAGTGATGCAGACCATCTGGAGCCTGTAATGAACATGTGAGGTCAGCAGCAGCAGCCAGAGACACCCAGGGAAGGTATAGGGTTGTTCAGACCCGCTCAGAAAAGCTCCCACACAGATCAGAAAACTACTGAAAGGAATTTGTTTATCAAAGCCAGTCTAAATGAAAAGGTGCCTCGTTCACTAAGGATGGGGTGCTCTCAGGCAGTCTTGAGATCAGCACTGACAGTGGGAAAAGAGACCAAGCTGTGAGAAACCAGGGACAGGACCTCCTYAGTCTCTCTCAGACAGCCTCTGAGCAGCTTACAAAGTGACAGATGAAGACTAAATTAGTGGCAGGGACAGCTATTGCTGAGTATGGGAGAAGAGACACAACCTCAGGTGCCAGCTCTTAAATTAACAGTAGAGAAGTCCAGCCCTTTATCTTTTGCCAGGGCCATTTCTTGGCTCCCCAGCATTGGCAGAAGTAAGTGGTTTCTAGGTACCAATTCAAAAATGAAAAATTGGACTCCCACTCTCCCTCAGCACTTTGAAATGCTTCTTCATGCAGTTATTAACAAGGGTGATCTTCTTAAACAGGTGTGCTTGGGAGTGGTAGATAGAATACAATTCTACTTTCCACACAGGGACTACCAAGGTGTCAGTTTTTTGTGGGTTTTTTTTTAATTTTTTTTTAATTTTTTTTTTTTTTAATTATCATCTACAAAAGCTTGTATTATTATTTATTATTTTTCCTTCTACTATTTCACTTGAGTTTAGTTCTTGCCTAGCTTCTCAGGATGTTCTTTGATAAAAAGTAGTCTAGAAGAACTTTAAGGTACTATCGAGGCAGAACAACATTTGTGTGCTGAAGGTAATTTCCCACCACTCCAAGAATTTACTCACTGCCTGTAYCTTTAATGCTTTACACAAGTATTGCTCTAGATCATCATATAGAAAAAATGTTGATAGAGTGCTACCATTAAAGCCACCACTTTCTTCAAATTAAACTGTATTTCTCATTCTCTGTCCACATCAAACAGATAGACAGTTGTARAACTGGCAGAGATTTTAGTACAGCTCCTTTTGCCACAATGCCAAAGAGACTGTCATGGTCAGACTGAACCAGGGGAGGGGACAAGCATAGAACTGGAATCTTCCTGCCACCTCTGTACATCCCTGCTGAAATTAATGTCTGTGCAGCTCATGTTCAGTGATGGTACAGCAGCCTCAGATAAATCTGTTGCCCCTGACGTATCAAGTCCAATATTTTATGTCACAGAATTGGATGACAATTGCAATGCAGTTCTTTTCAACCTTCACCACATTATTCTGGAATGACAAAAATCTTCAAGACAGAGCCATCCAATAYAGTCAGAGTTTAATGAAAGGACAGTGTAACAATGGCAAGATAGGCAATAACCCTTGTAGTTTTATAGATACCTGCTCAGCTTAATAACATTAACCTTTGGTAAGAAAGTTAAAAAGCCAAACAAATTTAACATTAGGAAAGGTTAGAAAAATCAATACCACACAGCAGGAAAGAAAACAATAGATTGCATCTGATGACGATATAGCTCTGCTGAATGATAGGATGAGGGACAGAATGTGAGGCTTTTGCTGTTCTGTCTTATTACAGCAGCTACGGGAGGCACATTGCTAAAGAAGGAGGAGTGTGTCAGACACACATAATAGGATTATTGAACCCTATATTTCAGACAGACACTGAATTCAGACAGGCACTGAAATGTCAATCTGAACATCTCAGTAWTTCTCCCATTTTTAAAAATGTTATGCATCACAGCACATTGTGTTTGCAGAAAGCAGTGTGTAGCTGACCCTACTCCCATGTTCTYCTTAATCTTATATTAAGAGAATGTAATGTTTTTTTTCTTTCTGTAATCTTTCTGAGCATGAGAATATTATTACAACAGAATACATAAAATATCCTAATGTGGACCTATCTCTCAGGTCTTCCTGTGGCAAACCATTTGAGACTATCTTTTGAAGCCTGTGTCTGGCTGTGCTCAGTGGGTGCACCAGTGACATTCAGTTCAGTCCTTTAACAATTCCTGAGCAAGAGGCTCAATTTTGGGCTATCAGTCTCAAACAGATGCACTCATGTATAGTATCAATGGCACACATCCTCAAGCAAAAAGAGGAGAAAGGAGACAGCTTGTAGAGCCTCTCAAAATCACAGCACAAATAAATTTTAAGAAACCTGTATAAATTAAATGTTGTCTCTAAACACTTCACCTGCACAAACAGTAATATGCCCACTTTATCCTAACATTTCATTGACCAACTAAGAAAGAGCTATAGATTCTCAGAACTATTTCATTTGGAAAGGATTTTTCAAAGTAATCTGGTCCAATCTCTTGCTAAGAGTACCTTAGATGTACAATTGGTAAAAAATATTTTTGATATTTAAATAGCCAAAAATACTTAATTAAGTGAAGTGAATTTTTTTTTTAGTTTTGGACTCAAATTTGGCTGACTGCCTGGCATCAGTACAAAGCTAATACTGTATGGATTGCTTGGCCYTCAGTTCTGGGATTGATAATGTTTTCACTCATCCAATTGCACATTAAGCCACACTGCCATTCAGATTGACTAAAATAATTTATTATTCATGTTGAAGCATTATGAAACATCAAACCAAACAACTGAAATTCACACTCAGGTGAAAGCCACATTACTGAAAAGCAAACCAAGAATGTTGACCATCACTTCCAACCTTGTATAACATCACTTGATTTATTGAACAAGCACTATGAACTTGTTAAATTTGCCAAGCATTAAAAAAAATGCACACTGTAGTTGAAACTTTGACTGCAACAGCTGCAACCTCTTGTCACTTCCCCTATTTCTATTTCAATATGATCTTTTCCATAGTAAATAAAATGTTTCCTGTTTTTGTTTTTAATGAGGCAGCGTGTGGCTTCTGGTGGAGGATTTTTTTTGATACCATACATTTTATGTCAAGATAATTGCAATGAAAGAGTTCATCTACATTAATTAGGTTGCCCCTTTTCAAAAGAAAAGTCCATTTTTCATGAAATTGCAGTTACTTAAAATTGACAAAATATAAGTCTGTTTAGTTGGTATCTGACCAATACCAAGGAGAGCCAGCACACTTTATATGCCACCCACTACATACAGAAAAGCAGAAAACCAAATATTTCTAAACGTAAAAAATCAAATGCAAGCAACCACCCACCCTCCCCGCAAATAAAAAAAAAAAAAAAAAAAAGCAAACCAACAAACCCCACAAGCAAACAAACAGCACAGTTAATGTTCCATTTGCTGGAAAAATTCCCAGTATTTATCTGTACTAGAGAAAATTCTTCTGATGCATTAAGTTTGATGAATGAAAGCAAATACTCGCTCACAGGTCAGAAAGTGCAGCAATACACACATCACTGCAATACCTTTATCAGAAGGCCCTAACATCTTTTAAAGCTTTTAAATAACCCAGCAGAAGAGTGAGAGTGTTGCCTGAGAAAGGTCTGTCAGGAGTTGCAGTCTCATATTAAACCCATATCTCTTCATTCCCATTTCTGGCATTTTAAC